CTTTTTAAAACATACTTTTCATATATGTTTCGAACCTGTAGTCAGATTTGAACAAAATTTAGTACGCATATGTTTTGCTAGACATTCTAATATTGGGTGATTTTTTTGCTAGTATCTTTTTGGCAACACTGTTTTTGACAGATGACGCGTGAATCGTGTCTTGTGTCATTGTCAAACTTGTTCAGTTTGGTCTATAATTTAACCATGAATCGACTTACGAACGAACAACGCTTGCAAATTATTGAATTTTACTATCAAAATTCATGCTCGGTTAAGAGAGTGCATCGAGCACTGCTTCCAATTTATGGGCAATTTGGTCGGCCTACTGAGGAGCTATTCGGAAGCTTGTGACTAAATTTCGAACCCAGTTTACATTATTGGACATTAAACCACCAACACGCAGACGTAGAGTGAGGACTGAAGAAAATATTGCGGCTGTATCCGCCAGTGTTAGTGATGACCGTGAAATGTCGATTCGCCGCCGTTCGCAGCAATTGGGCCTCTGTTACTCCACTACGTGGAAAATTTTGCGACAGGATTTGGGTGTAAAACCTTATAAGATACAGCTGGTGCAAGAATTGAAGCCACACGACCTCCCACAACGTTTCCAATTTGGTGAATGGGCGCTGGCAAAGTTGGAGGAAGATCCACATTTTTATCGAAAAATTGTGTTCAGCGACGAAGTCATTTCTGGTGAATGGTACGTTAACAAGCAAAATTGCCACATCTGGAGTGAAGACCAGCCAGAAGCATTGCAAGAGCTACCAATGCATCCCGAAAAAATCACTGTTTGGTGTGGATTATGGGCCGGTGGCATCATCGGGCCGTACTTCTTCAAAGACGACAATGGCCGGAACGTAACTGTGAATGGCGAGCGCTACCGTGCGATGATAACAAACTTTTTTTTGCCCAAAATGGAAGAGCTGGACTTGGCTGACATGTGGTTTCAACAAGACGGTGCCACATGCCAACCGCACGAAACAATGGCCCTATTGAGAGGCGAGTTCGGTGAACAGTTTATCTCACGTTTGGGGCCGCCTAGATCGTGTGATTTAACGCCGTTGGACTATTTCTTGTGGGGCCATGTTAAGGCTAATGTCTACAGGGATAACCAGCAACGATTAACGTACTGGAAGCCAATATTGAAGCATTTATTCGTGAGATACCGGCCGATATGTTGGAGAGAGTGTGCCAAAATTGGACCTTGCGCATGGGCCATCTAAAGCGGAGCCGCGGCCAACATTTACATGAAATAATCTTTAAACATTAAATTATATCGACCGTTCTATCGACTCAAATAAGGATTTAATCGTTATTTCAAATTTTTTGTGATTTTTTGGAAAAAAATCCTATACCTCTTAAAAAATCACCCGTTATTTGACTTTTACGAAAAACTCTAAAAAGTTCGAGAAGGGTGAAAGATACCCCCACCAATAGTTACATAAATTATAGTAGAATTTTTTACAACTTTCCCGACGACTCTGAGTTACTTTTATTTAGCAGATCATTTTATTTACTTCATTTTTGTCTCATAAAAGCTGGCCATTTCCGATAGTTTTATAGAAAAAAAAAATAGTTGCATCAAGATGTTCCCAAGCGTATTATTCATTCTTTAAGTGTAGTTAGCGATAATTATTATTACAATGTGACTCTTGGAGGTTGGGATCGACCAATTTCTCGGCGTTCTATGCTTGCAAAGGTGTCTCACAATGTGGAATTCGTCGATTCGGATATCTCCCTTGATACATGTGAACACAAAACAAGCAACAACTTAACCAAAAACAATCTCAAACGTTAATTAGTTCAAAATTTATGAAGAACAAACAGCAAATTAATAGTCAAAAATAAACTCTACATTATACTCATTAATTAAGGTCCGTATCGTCAGTCGTCCCTACACTTGTAGGGCGCCTTTATGGCCTCCTTGATTGTCATAGTTTTCTACTTCTCCGTGTCAGAACTCTATTTTGAGGTTATGTCACAAACATCTATTTTGCATCAAATTGTGCTTGCTTTTGAGTTATATCATGTTTCATCAGCATGAAATTTCCTACAATTTAAAAAGAAAACATATCTTCACAATAGGAGAGCGCTGACTCTGACACGGGACAAGTGTAATCTAGAAATTTTTGAAGGAGAGAAAGGAGTATGACAATCAAGGAGGCCACTGGCAACATCCCCAAATTTCCGCCAACTAGATGCCTACTAGATTTTAACACTTGATGTAATTAAGAACATTTTTTAGAAACCTGTTCCGAAAAGCATTTTTTTTTCTCTCGGAGAACTATGATAGGTCGCCTGTTTTTTTAGTAAGTAAATAAAAATATCAGCGCAATAAATAGAATCATAGTTATAGGGAGAGTTGCGAAAAAATTCTGTTACAGTTTTCACCCTTCTTGAACCCTTTCAGTTTTTTTTGTAAAACTCACGTGTAAAACACACGTGTCCCTGATGTAATTCAAATTGATCTAAGGGTTCCAAAAATATCTGAAAAAAATGTGTTTTAAAAAGGAAACTTTGATCTCTCTAACGGACAAATGAGGCACTCTCGCATAGAATTAAATCACGTCCAATCGACTATTTTGAGTATAAAAACACGTGGTACATATGTATATGTCCACGGAATATTGGGACACCCTGTAGATGCCTGAGATAGACTGCAAAAGGAGGTGGCTTGGTTAGTACCGTTAAAGGTATTTACTTGTAGACCTGACAGGCAGAGAGTTCTCCGAGAAGCCACAGGTTCCGTTCTCGTTGACAGATGCCACTCTGAACTGGTACCAACTTCCTGCTTTCATGAAGTGCCTCAAGCTGGTGCTAATCTTCCAGGTTTGGAACAGGCGCGCCACTCTGACAGTTTGTACTCTTTGAACACCTTGCCAGAGTGATGACGTTCTTCTATCAAGTATAAAGTCCGGCCTGGACCTCGAGACGCGGACCATTCTATGTAAACGGTTCGTTTTTTACGTCTTTCGGCTCTCACGTTTGTCGGTACCTCGGGCAAGCCTGAATAAAAAAAACTTGGGAATAACTACTAACAGTTTCAATGATATCTCGTCTTTAATTATAATATTATAACATCTTTGAGGTCCATATCCCTAAATGTAAAAATAAAATGTTTTCGTATCCCCCATAGTTCACACGTGAAATTATACTTAATATCAAGAAGAAGGACATAGCAAGAAGGAACTGGAAACGTGACGGTACTAAGTTTTCTTATGATCAGTTTAGTAATTTTAGGAAGCTTATTAAGAACCAGATCAGTGTTGCCTACTCCGCTTACGTCCAATGATCCTAGCAAATTCTGGTCATTTGCCCAGATCAAAAAACAGCAATCTAGAATCTCTCCAAGGATGACGCTTAACGGCAATGTCTGCGATACGCCTCAGGATATAGTGGACAGTTTTGCTACCTTCTTTTCAACAGTTTTATCCCGTCTGGTCTACTAGGGTCATCTCCTCCAACAAATAATTCTACCGATATCATTTCTTTAAAAAATATAAGTGAAGAAAACGTAATTAGGGCTTCGAAAAGGTTAAAGAACAAAATGACGTCTGGATGTGATGGTATTCCAAGTTTTTTCGTTAAAGATTGCATTCATATACTAGCGAGACCGCTGGCTTCCATATTCAACCTGATTCCTAAAATCCTAAAATCAGAGACATATCCAAATATCTGGAAGACCTCTAAAATATGTCCTATTCACAAAAGTGGAGAGATCTCTGATATTCCAACTATCGCCAAATATCAATCCTGTGCAATTTCAGCAAGTTGTTTGAGATCATCGCTTATGAAACGGTTTTCTGCTCGGTCAGGGGTGCAGTCTCTATTAATCAGCATGGGTTTATGTGAGGCAGATCTACGGTTACCAACTTGGCTCTAATTACTCAGTACATTTCTGAAGTACTGGACGGTCAGGGACAAGTTGATGTCACCTACACAGATATTCAGAAGGCGTTTGATCAAGTTGATCATTATGCACTTCTGGATAAGCTTAAAACAGTCGGTATGTCTGATGCAATGCTGTCGCTCATAAATTCATATTTGAGGGATAGAAGGTTATTTGTCGAATATGGTGGTCATAGGTCGAGTTACTATCGGGCCACGTCCGGGGTACCTCAAGGGTCAAATCTAGGTCCATTATTGTTTTTGATATTTATTAATGACTTGTCTTTTGAACTGAAGTGTTTCCATTTGTTTTTCGCTGATGACCTTAAAATCTGCACGTCAGTCAAGACAGTCTCAGTCTGAATGTTTCGAAATGTAAGTTATGACTTATACAAGAAAGGTTAACTGTTTAATTTATGATAATTATGACATCCATGGTCAGGTTATAGACAGATGCAATTCTTATAGAGACCTTGGAGTTATTTTTGATACCAACTTACGTTTACTGAGCATATACTCAATATCTCGTCGGCTGCCATTCGACTACTTGGTTTCTGTATCAGAAACTGGAAGGATTTCTCCAATGTTGATACATTAATGACTTTATTTTTTACTTTTGTCAGGAGCAAGTTGGAGTATGCGACTCTGATCTGGTCTCCTATATACCAAAATTCTGTCGTGATCCTTGAGGCCATTCAACGTAAAGCTTTAGAGTATTTTCAACTTAAATGCACAGGTTCTTATCCAGAAAGAGGTTGTGACCATAGTGCCCTATTAGAGTTTTTCAATTTGGAATCACTGTCAACAAGACGAAACATATTTGCTTTGTCGTTTTTGTATGACCTCATTCACAATAAAATTGACTGTCAAAATTTACTTGAAAAAATATGTTTCCGCGTTCCAAGGCTAGGGAGTCGACAACAAACGGCATTCTATTGTCAAGCTGGCCGTACAAATGTTATGACAAAATCGCCAATTAATCTCATGTACTGCGTCATGAACAGTGTTACTGAATTGTGTGATATTTACAGTGATAGTTGTGCATCGATTATTGACTGCTATAGATCATCCAATCTTATTAGAATGTGTGATACTATAGATTTAAGTCCAAGAAACATGTCTCTTTAATTGTTATGTTTTTCAGCATTTCCTGTAATTGGGTTTCACCTGTTGGAAATAAATAAATAAATTGTTAGATTTTATGATGTTTATCTCTATAATTGGGACTCATTAGCCGGTATCAACGAGACAAAATAATTTCGTATGGAACACTGAGCAAACGTGGTCAATTAGACAGTTGTACTTGAAAATATTCATTACCCGTAATGATTTTTGTTTTAATTATTCTAAATAACTATATTAATCGGTTTAATTAAACTGCATTTTCTGGAATCAATTTAATATACTATTAAACTAATTTGCTTGAAAATAGCAAGCAATGTACCTGTCTTATCAAACTGGTTAATTGGTCCAAGGTAATTTAGTTTATGTAGAAAAGGTACATTAAATACAATTAAATATTTTTATTAAAACAATTAAACTGTTTATTTGAACGGCAGACTAAGCAGGACTCGGCCCTTCATTCGAAACCTTAGCAAGAGTTTCCGGTACACTGTGCCCTACCTGATAACACACCGTTAATAGAAAATCCTGTTTCACAAAAAATCTCTACGGACAACCAAATGACTCGAACGAGTTCAAACTGGTACCGATTTCGCATGACCAGTGTTGCCAGATCTAAGGCTGCGTTGCCAGTCTCATTACTTAATTTACGGACCTCGTATATACAGCCTCCTATTGGTGCAGACTTCGTGGCATTTGAAAACAACCTATTTCGTCTAAAGTGATGTCGAATTTATTTATATATGTAAATGCGTCGATGCGGCGTAGTGCAGTATTGTTAAAAATAAAAGTACTATTTTGAATTGCTTCTAGTGAATGGTGATGCAGTATATATAGTATAAATGAAAATAAAATAAATCGAATTTTGTTTTGATTCAATTTTATCAGATATCAATATACTGTATACTTCGATTCCGTAGATTGGTCAGGGCACTGATATAATATACATCATTTAGCAAAATGCAATTTGTTCATTTAAATTTCAAATGATTTCCAAATATTCTTTTAAATCTATACTAAGTGACATATAAATCCGAACACCCAGTGTAAATGGTTTTATTTTAATAAAAGTTGGTGAATGTATTTATCTTACTGTAAATAACAAGTGAAAAAATTTTCAGCCTTATCAGTTGGACATTCCGGTTTTTATACTGCTTTTTTTTAATTAACTAACGCTCTAAAAATGAATATTTCAGCCGCAGTAAAGAATCAACGTTGGCGGATTTTGGTTTTTGACATCCTTTACGATCGGTTACGATGCCTAGAGTACGGAGACCTGTACGATTTCGTCAACTTAGTGAGTTTGATAGGGGCCGTATAGTGGGACTTCGGGAAGCTGGACTTTCTTTTCGGGCAATTGCAGTTAGAGTGCAAAGAAGTGTAGACACTGTGGTTAGGTGTTGTCAGGCATGGCTTCGAGAAGGCCGTACGCAAAGAGCAAGGGGCACTGGACGCCGCCGTAGAACAACAGACCGTGAAGATCGCCGCCTAGATTATTGGCCTTAAGGGACCGTTTCTCCACTACCAGGTCCATTGCAAATGAATGGTTTGCAGAACACGGAAGACCTATTGGCATGCGAAGTGTTTACCGACGAATGAGAAGTTTTGGCTTGTTTCATACCGGCCACACTGGGTCCTCCCTTTAACTCGAGAACACTGACGTAATCGCCTTGAGTGGTGCAGACAACGGTCACTCTGGGATCAGGAATGGAACAGTATTGTCTTTAGTGACGAGTCTCGATTTTGTTTAGGCATGCACGACGGTGGTGCCAGGGCTAGAAGGCGACGTGGTGAAAGGAGGAATCCACAGTTTTTTGTTGAAAGACATGTTCATCACACTGTTGAAGTTATGGTTTGGGGTGCTATAGCTTATGGTTCCAGGTCACCTTTAATCTTCATCAGAGGTAACATGAATGAGCAGCGTTATATCCACGAAGTTCTAGAACCCCATCTTTTACCCTATCTTGACACCCTGGCAGATCCAACTTTCCAACAAGATAATGCCCGACCACATGTTGCAAGAGTCACAATAGACTTTTTTCAACATAATGATGTCACATTGTTACCAAGGCCACCAAGATCTCCCGACTTATCCCCAATTGATCACGAGTGGGATATGATGGGTAGGAGATTGCTCAATTTGCAACGTCCTCCTCAGACTCTAGAAGCACTTCGAGAGGAGTTGGTGGTTGCCTGGAATGAGATACCACATTAGGACATTGACCACCTGATCAGAAGCATGCCTAGGCGCGTTGGAGAATGCGTAGCAATCATTTTGAAATTTTTATCATTTACTTATTATGCTTCATTAAGTACTTATACAAAATTTTATTAAAATAAAACTATTTAAACTGGGTGTTCGGATTTATATGTCACTTAGTATAAATAAAATAATTCATTAAGACTAGGCAAACGCTATTCCCTAAACTAATTAAACAAATTTAAGAAATACTATCAAAATGTTTTATTCTTGCTTATTTTAATAGCTCATTAATTTTAAATAATCTACTGTACCCAGTTTAAGTAAACGGATTAATAAATTTATTTAAATGGTTGCGTTTTCTCTCATTTAAACTAGTTTTTATAAACTCAAGTAAACTGTTTTAGAAAACGGAGTTTAATTAAACTAATTAAACTTGTTAGCTGTCACATAGTTGATTAAATTTTTTAATTCTCGTAATTAACATTTCAATTGGTTAGATTGAATGTTGTTCTCAGTGTACATTTCAATGTTTCTTAACGAGTCATTCTAGAAATAAAACAACTGCCATTTCAAACCAGCCTAGTCATAAAACTCGTTAAATGAAAGACATATACTAAGTGACATATAAATCCGAACACCTAGTTTATTTTAATAAAAGTTGGTGAATGTATTTATCTTACTGTAAATAACAAGTGAAAAAATTTTCAGCCTTATCAGCTGGACATTCCGGTTTTTATACTGCTTTTTTTAACTCACTAACGCTCTAAAATGAATATTTCAGCCGCAGTAAAGA